TGCAGTCTACTGGGACATACGAGGGAACTGGCGGGAGAAGTGGGGAAACAGAGGGTAAGGTGAAGGAAGCAAATTAAGTCACCACTGCAGAGAAACATTTGTACAGCAATGTGATTTGCACTATCCAACATACAGCTATAACAGAAACCCCTTATCTGTGTCTGATCTGCTTACACATATTTTTCACTATTTTTTGGAGAGAGAGAGATTGAACTATATGTTGAGGTTCAAATAAATAAGAGAAGGCAGTCAAATCTGCATATATAAATTCCAGTGAACTCCTGTTTTGTGGGTGATGAAGGGAGAGATGAACAGCTGACCTTTTACCCTACAAATAGAGTTGTAGCTGACCTTTTACCCTACAAAGACTTTTTAATACTGGTTCAGAGAATTAGGCACTTTAAGAGGCAATAGTATGAAAAGCAACAAAATCTCATGTCTGTTTGGAACTAGAGGGGGTGGGGGAAGAATGCATGACATTGTTCTATCCAGTACCTCGCTACGACTGTGGCAGGTCAGGATGAACAGTTTACCCAGCATCATGGCAGATTCTCCATTTTTTAATCAAGATGTGATGTTTGTTCTAAAAATACTGCTCTAGGAATCATTTTAGGGAAGTTCTCTAGCCAGTTATGCAGAGATCAGACTGTGGGATCACATTGTCCCCTTCTGGCTCTGGAATCTACCACCTACAGAAATGTTCCAGATCCAGGCATAGACATTTTAAGTACAAGAGGTCAGTTTCAGCGCTCCTTAAAACACGGTGTTCTGCTTAGAAAGTCCTGTTAAGCACTGGAAGACAGCACTGTCCAAGAGACTTGGGTGCTATGCCCCCCCAGCCATTGATGAGCTTCTCTGCTTAGTGCCTCAGTTTCCTCAGTAAATCAGGATAATGCTACTGGTTTTCCTTTGGTAAAGCACTTTGAGATCTATGGAGCTAGCTAATAGGGTGATAGTTTGAAGGAAGAGGAGGAAGAAGGCCAATGTTATGCCCAGCAGTGTGAGCAGAAGGGGGCATATATGTTCATAATCAGATTAGGTGTTGCTCATCATGCAGTTGCCAGGGCTGGCAATAGACTTCGCTGGACTCTGGGCAGTGTGGGGTGAGCCTGGCTCTGGGGCCCCCAGAATAGGTGGGGCCTTAGGAAGAAGGGGCAGGGCTAGGAGCAGCCAGCTCCCAGTACTGCCCAAACTGTACAGCGCTTCCTCCACAAGTGTGTCCGTCAAATAGTTGGACCAGGATTGCTCAGGGTGTTGGCAGCAAACCATTGAGTCTTTTGTTGCGTGGTTGCCAGTTCAAATCCACCCTAGCCAATAATGGAAATTGCTATCCACCATACGATTGCCATTTGGTGCTTTATGTGAAGTGAATTTGATCTCAGTCTAGTTCTTACTGAAGAAATGCTCATGTTGCAAAAACCACCCATAGAAGATGAGTTACAGCGATTTTACTGCCTTTTCCCTAAGGCACCTCTAGGCTGGGGTTGGGGCATGGTGGTTGGGTAGTTTGTGGAAGTCTTGTGTGGTCCCTGCCCATACTGTACCCATTTTGTGGAGAAAGAGGACTTCAATTTCCAGGCACATGTCACTAGTGCTAAATCCACACACACATCCCCAGAATGTATCAGCTAGACTAAACGTCAGGCTGTAGGTTGCGTGTGCAATGGGACATAAAACCCCAAATCTGAAGTAGATGGGAGTTATTAGGTGCACACCACTTCTCAGCCTTAAATCTTGTGCAGCTGGGCTTTACAAAGCCCATATTTTAGCTGCATCCCATGGTGCAATTGTGCCCCTAGAAATAACTTTCTGTCTTTGTGCATAGAATTTTCTGCATTATCACTGCTAAATTGGGCACCTAAGCTCAAATCCTTGATGTATGGCACTTAGTTCCCCAGTGATTTCACTGGGATCGGGAATTGGGCCTTTAAAATGCACTTGGAAAATCTAGCTCTTCAACTGCTGGTACTTTCCATAATTTTCACTCTGCCTCTTTCTCCAGAGCCTCTCAGGAGTCCATGGGGGCAGGGGCACTGAATGGGGAGTTAGGAGATCTAAGTTCCATTCCCAACCCTACTACCCATCTGCTGGGTGACCTTGTGCATGTTGCTTCCCCTCTGGTTGCTCTCTCAACCTTGGTTTTCTTGCTAAATTGTAAGGTCTCAGAGGAAGGGACAGTCTCCTTTCCATTTGTGTGTAGAGCACCTGCTCAATGGGAATCCAAACTCATTTGGGGCCACTGGCGGCTACAGCAATACAATAATTGTAATAACATCAGACATGAGCAGACGCAGTGTCTCTTTGAACATGTAAGTTGAACAAGCCAATTGTGACCCATAAACTTTTGGGGGAAGATTTTTCAAAAGCATCTTAAGTGACTTTAGCAACCTAATTCCATGTGATTTAGATGCTTAGGAGCCTACATATATAAGATTTAGGCTCCCAAGCAATGTTCCCTATAAGCTGTGCAATTGTGCAGCCACTTAGGAGAGATTCAAATGCTGCCCAATTGATAAGCAGAGGTCCCACAGCCAGGCTTTTGTTTCTACTGGTGGTGCACATATTCACACATACCTCAGTGCACATAAAAAAACCATTCTGCACGTGGATGGAAAAATTCTGCCCATGGATGGAAAAGATTAGAGAGAACTTTTTCCAAATGTCTAAGTTACTTTTCAAAAAAGGACTTAAGTCACTTAGATTTTTTTTTTGAATATTTCCTCTTTCATCAACATTATGGCTGCCAGAGAAATAGGTGGATTTAAAAACCTTGAGGTACTTGCCAACTTGTTTTCACTAAGGACAGGGGCAAATGCATGTGTGAGTGTGTGCGCATGTGTCTGTTTTTTCCAGTCTTGTGTTACTTAGTTAAATCAGTTGGTAATCTTGAGGCCAACCCTGGCATGATGTATCCTCCATTTGAAGACTGGGAAAGGAGGAGTCTTAATTACCTGTCAGATATGTTTAATATTCATATGTTGGTTTTCTAGCAAGAGCTCCAGGGCCAGGTATAATTTGTTTAGTGGAGGCAATTTATTGGATGTAGGATGTAAGGAGGGCAGCTTAATCTTGTTGGCATATGTGGGATAAGGGACACTGGCATGGTGATTATTCTACAAAGTTTGCTTCAGCATGGTAGAAAAATCATATGAGACAAGGTGGGATTCTGTGGTGGCTGCCAGAACAGACACAGTCTTGCAGCCACCTTACTCACCTGTGCTTGAATAACTGCAGACTAGGCTGGGCAAACCCAGGAGAAAAAATTGAAGTGCTGGAGTGTATAGAAGCTTGTTGAGATTGGCTTGCAAGCTCAGGCCCCTTAACTGGGTCAAAGCCATTTGTGGGAGATCTGTGATGTGGACTGGCCCTGAGGGTTAACGTTGAAGATATTTTGTAGCAATCTGAGAGCCCTAACTAACACAGGGATGCATTCTGCCTTCGTTTAGGACAACATTTGCCCTGTAATTAAATACCAATAGGACTGGGAGAAAGAGGAAGACATATGTATTCCTGTATTGGAGTCTGTTCTTCAATGCTGTGCCCAGCTTTGTCTGAAATGACTCAAGTGACAGGGCTTCCAGCTCTTCCCTGGGGAGATTATTCCACAGTCTAATAAATCTCTCAGATAGGAAACGTTTCTTGATAACCAGCCAAATTTTTCCTTTGCTCAGTTTCATCCCGTTATTCTTAGAATTGCCACCTCATAGCCCACTCAAACAACCCCCTCTAGCTTTGGATTGGATGCCTTTTTAATACATGTAGGTGGTTAGCCTCTCTCCTCTTTTGTCATGATTTTAGCCAAAGATGCTGGGTCGAATCTGGAGGAAGGACTTGGGCTCTGATCCTCTTTTAATCTTTCTTCATAAATCAATCCCAGCAATATGTGCAGTGCTCCCTTTTATCTGAATGTCCATCAGTTTGTGTTTGTGTCTAGAGTACACAGATGTCTGTGTGGTACGCAAAGCCAGTATTGCTCTTTCATTGCTGCCACAAATCCTCTTCTTGCTCCAGGACAAGATTCTTCTGTACAGGTAGCCTAACATCACATTCTACTCCCATGTACCATGGCACACTCGGATCTAAATGGCTGCCAGCTCTGATCCCTTAGGTATTTTTCAGAATCGTTGATCCAAGCATCACCCTCCCATTGAATATCTGTGTCTGGTTATTTCATCCACTGGCTGTGTTAGCCTGCTATTTTCCCACTTGCATTTCTAATCTATCGAAAGGTCTGATCCAAATCCCATTGAACCTCCACCTTGACTCCATTGGGCTTTGGATCCAGGCCCAGATTTGTGAAGCTATTCAGAAGGGATGGGAACAGGTAACCGGGAGTAGCCTGCTGCAGGTAGAGGGCTGCCAACCCCCCCAGCCTCATGGGAGGTGGAATCCAGCCCCCTCTCCCCCTCACGAAAGGGCTGGGAGTAGCAGCCTGCTTAATTGGTTAACTGATCAACCTGGATTTTACATCTCTAGTATTTAAGCATGTCTGCACTCAGTGTTGCAATGCTAAACAGGTTTAGGAGCCCACGCCTCATTTTTCAAAGGGGATTTAGCCAAATCTCTTGGAAGATGAAAGTTGAGTCCCTAAATCATATCAGCATTGCAGCACCAATTGCTGCCATACCTAAATACCTTTACAATGTGGCTCCAGTCCCTGTGCCTTTTTATATTATTTATCTAGTTTCTTTCCTGGTGTTCACGACACCTCCCAGTTTAGTAACATCTGCACCTTTAATTAACACGTTTTCACCCTTTCTTGCAGGAAATTAATAAAGATGTTAAATAAAGATTCAGGCCTAGCAGGGCTGCTTGCCCCATGCTTGACACCTCCTCTCTGAACTCAGTCCAGGAAGGTCAAAGCTAAGGCGTGGGGGATGGGTAAGACACAGAATCCCTGGAACATGTTATCATGCATATTGGAGGGGACCCGGGGGATTTTACATTGTGGCATGTAGGCATCTCTGTGTCTAATTTGGCATTTGCTGTGTCCACTGCAGGTTGTGCATTTCTCACGTATTGTGCCAGGGATTCTGCCATCAAAGCCCAGACTGCGCTACATGAACAGAAGACTTTGCCAGGGGTAAGTCCCAATGGTTGATGAACTATAGCCCATGGGTTTCTTGGCTTGAGCTGAGGCCATGAACTGAAGGGAGAATTGGCTTTGATTTTTTTTTTTCTGTCTATCAAAGAGGAGCTTGGTCTGGTGGTTACAACAGGGAGCTGGGAGGCAAACCCCCTAGGTTGGCTTTCTGACCCTACTAGAGGCTTTGGCTACGTCTACACAGCCCTCTCTTGCGCAAGGAAAATATGCAAATGAGGTGAAGCGGTGAATATTGCCATGCCTCATTTGCATACTTAATGAGCCACCATTTTTGCACAAGGGGCTTTTGCGCAAAAAGGAGCCATCTACCCAGCACCTTTTTGTGCAAAACCCCCCTCTTGCTCAAGAGCTGTTCTGCCGCTTTTTTTCAGGAAGAATGGCTCCTGCGCAAAAGCCCCTTGAGCAAAATGGCGGCTCATTAACTATGCAAATGAGGCGCAATGATATTCATCGCTTCGCCTTATTTGCATATTTTCTTGCGCAAGAAAGGGCAGTGTAGACGTAGCCCTTGTGTATGATCTCAAACAAGTCATGTTGCTTCTCTATGCCTCCATTTCCCCAAATGTAAAACAGGATCTGATGCTGCTTATGCACACCACCAGGAAACTGTCATGTTAATGAGTGCAAGATGTGGCATAGGAGATAAGTACCTTCTTTAGGTGGGTAGCCTGTGAGGAGGAGTCACGTGGGGAAGAAAATGAGATACGGCATGTGACCTTTTCCCAGGTCCCCATGCACCTTTGCACAGCAGCTACAGCACCATGGACGGCTTTTCTACCAGAGCGACAGGCCAGGTTGTTCGGGATCAGGGTGTAGAACCCTGACACAGTGTTGAGCTCAGTCCCTGAGACTGACTAGACTGTGGAGGAAAAATGTCCCTGCTTATACACAGACCCATCCAATCATTCAGAAGTGAAATCCACTGAACAGGTGAGACGGAATTCTGGACTCCTCTCCTGCACACCCTGTGCCCTTTCTGGTGTATATGGTCAGTGTGAAACCTCTAGGGGGAGACTGGAGGGATCATTTAACATGGGTTTGCTCTAAATGTTGGGGATCAGCCCCCAAGGCACCCCTATTCCTGCACAGACTGCCCCTCTCTATTGCTAGGCAATGATATTGGATTTTTAAAATGTTTGCCATCCGTGTTTTGTGAGGGTAGAAGATCCCTGGCTAGGCTGGGCTTACTTTCTCTCTGCTCTGGGGTTTGAACAAGTGCACTGAAAAGATTCCTTTGTAGGTGAGTAGGCGGAGGACTCGGGTACTTATAGACAGAAGCTCACAGGAGACCCTAAGTGCTTAAGGCAGCAGTATAATTAATGTAAACCAGGGCTCTCAGGAGAGGGGTTAGGAATTCTTAACCATAACATTTCCCCTTTAACTCCTGCAGGTCCAGAAAGCTTCCCTCACCTCTCCCAGCCCCTGATCTGTGTTTGCAATAGGTAGGAAAACTCACGTAGTTTAATTGTCGCTTAATGGAGTCCTTTTGGAAGCTGTCATTGCCATTATTGGCTGTGGGTGTTCCAGGTTATTTTAGGGCACAGATGAGAGCTGAAGAGAAATACATTCTTAAGTATTACTTGACTTAATTTTCTTTGGGGGGATAAAACAGGATAAGGCATAATAACCTTCCACAAGCATTAGACCAGCATGGGGGAGAGAGTGTGAGGGAGCATCATACCAGTATAGAAATTATACAGTTGTGGTTTAGTGTTGTAATTCGACATATAGTGGACAAGAATATCATCAGTACAAAGCAGAGCAAACACAATGTACAGTATAATGAAAGTATCAGAGGGGTAGCCGTGTTAGTCTGGATCTGCAAAAGTGACAAGGAGTCCTGTAGTCTATAAGGTGCTATAGGACTCCTTGTCGCTTTAGTATAATGAAAGTTCTAGTCTGGGCCTAGATTCGACAGCATAAGAACGACCATACTGGGTCAAACCAAAGGTCCATCTAGCCTAGTATCCTGTCTGCCAGGTGTCCCAGCGGGAGTGAATCGAACAGGTAATGATCAAGCGATCTCTCTCCTGCCATCCATCTCCACCCTCTGACACACAGAGGCTAGGGACACCATTCCTTACCCATCCTGGCTAATAGCCATTTATGGACTTAACCTCTATGAATTTATCTAGTTCTCTTTTAAACCCTGTTATAGTCCTAGCCTTCACAACCTCCTCAGGCAAGGAGTCCCATACGTTGACTATGCGCTATGTGAAGAACTTCCTTTTATTTGTTTTAAACCTGCTACCCATTAGTTTCACTTGGTGGCCCCTAGTTCTTATATTATGGGAATAAGTAAATAACTTTTCCTTATTCACTTTCTCCACACCACTCATGATTTTATATGCCTCTGTCATATCCCCCCTTAGTCTCCTCTTTTCCAAGATGAAAAGTCCCAGTCGCTTTAATTTCTCCTCATATGAGACCCATTCCAAACCCCTAATCATTTTAGTTGCCCTTCTCTGAAACTTTTCTAATGCCAGTATATCTTTTTTGAGATAAGGAGACCACATCTGTACACAGTATTCAAGATGTGAGCATACCATGGATTTATATAAGGACCTTCTCTGGATTCTCTGTCAGCTTCCCTTATGCTCAAATAGAGATCCCTATTGAATTAAAACCAAACGGAAAAGTATGAATAGTAACCATGCATTGTTTAGTGTGAGAGGAAGCCCAACTATCCCTGCAGATTTTGACACAACTGCAGATTTTGTTTTTGAATTGACAAGGCAAAACTGCTTTGTCTGAGAAGTTGAAGGTTATTGGTATCTGGGTGTGAGTATATTTAATTTTTTTGTTACTCAGGAAGGCATAGGGATGATAGGAAATGCACATTAGCAGACTGACCTTAAACAGATCAGTGTCAAAATGGTTAACAATTACAATGTTGTCAGTAGGCTCCAGGGTTAACATCAGGGGTCAGCTAGCATCAGTGCTAACATCATCCTCTAATGAAAACCAAAATCCAGAATGCGGGGGGAGGGAGTTCAGCTTTAGAATTAAAAGGGAAAGGCCTTGGTCCATCAGGTGGCTGAGGATAGAATATGGAGTCTTTCACCTTCAAGTCCGTGGTTCTAATGTAGCCCATGTTGTGGTTGAATTTTGTTGTTGTCTGGGAGCTGTTTTGTAGCTTGCCTAAAATGTATTAAGTTGATTTCAGCCCAATTCCCTGTGGACAGCTGGCCACATCTTGAAAGCCATCACCACAGCTGGCCCCGATTGGCCCCCTTGTTAGCTTTCTCAAGAGACCAGTGATTGATCGCAGCCATTTAGAAGGATGAGTACTAATCTGTGGGTTTCTCAGCCTGAGCTCGGGCTATAAGGTTGGAGTTAAAGAGGAATGGCCTTGATTTGTTTTCTTGTAGCTCTCTGGAGTACAGTGTGGCTAAAGTGGTAAATTGGGAACCAGGATTCCAGAGTTCTGTTGTAAGCTCTGTTGCTGATTGGCTCTGTGCCCTTGGTCAAGCCACTTAAACTACTCCCTCCTCCTGCTCTTATTCTGATTTACACTGATGCTTTGTCTACACTTGCAATTGATCAACAAAACTTTTGTTGCTCACAGGCGCTTAAAGTCCCTTCCCCAAACGCCAAAGGTTTTGCCATGGCAAATGCATTCTCCTGCCAACCAAGTGAAAGCCACTCATTCAGGCTTGAAGTATTTTGATTGCAAAAGTGTTGACAAACAGCAGGCACGTGCACTGGTTTTTACTGACAAGGTTGTGTTACACAACTTTGTCACTAAAAGCTGCTTAGTGTAGACATAGCCTGATGCTCCTTTGCACAGCTCTAGCAGTATAAGGCATCCCTGTTTAATCCTAGAAGTCCCCTTTGGTTGTCTCCCTGGTGTGCTACTGACATCCACCTTCCTGTGCTGAAGGCCGAAATGCAGTTGCAGCCCCTTTAAGAGCCACAGCACCGCTCTGGGAGCCAGAAAACAAACAATACCACGTGTCCCGAGCAGGCTTCCATCAGGAGATGAGCCGCCCCAGGAAAACAGGTGCCAGTACATACGTGGGAAATCCCGTTCCTTTTCTGTGGGCTGGGAAAATAGGTGACAGTACGCCGTTCTGGGCAGTACCATCACAAAAAAAGCACTGGCTTCCCATTGCTTAAATAGACTTTGCCCCGTGGCAGTAACCCTTTGTTTGGAACCCCCAACCCCTATGGAAAAGTACCAGGTTCAAGATGGATCCCAGGCTACATCTAGACTTCAAGCCTCTTTTGAAAGAGGCCTTTTCGAAAGATAATTTTGAAAAAGCCTCTTTCGAAAAAGAGCATCTAGACTACAACCAGTACTTTCGAAAAAGCAAACCGTTTTTTTGAAAGAACGCATCCAGGCTGTCTGGATGCTCTCTTTCGAAAAAGCATAGTTTGCATTACATAGCACCTTTTTTCGAAAGAGCACTTTTGAAAAAAGGCGTTCTTCTTCGTAAAACGAGTTTTTCCACGGTCGAAAAAACTGCCACATTCTTTCAATTTACTTTTGAAAGAACGCGGCAGCAGTCTAGACGCAGGTGAAGTTTTTTCGAAAAAAGGCCACTTTAAAAAAAAAAAAACCTGTAGCCTAGACACACACCCCAGTGCCAAATAGCATAGTCACTTGTTGTGATGGCACGTTGGGGTTCCCCCGCCTCCTGCACCCCCGAAATGGCACAAACAGACTCCGCCAACCAGTAGAATAGAGGTGGTTTATTGCTTCTCCAGTATACAGCACAGCACAGATGTCATCAGGTTACAGGACAGGCCTAGGATGCCTCAGCCCCCCTTGATATCGGGGAGTGGGTCTCGGCTTCTAAACCCCCCAGCCTGTTGCTGAGGCTGCTTCCTCCATGCTCCCAGACAGAAACGAAACTAACTCTCCTCCAGCCCTGCTCCCCAGCCAGGGGCGGCATTCCACCTTCCTTTGTTTCTCCCCATGGGGGGTAGCTGGTCAGACAGGTTTGGAGCTCCCTTTGCATAATGACCAGATAGCA